TCACCCTCCACTGTCCTTCACCCTCCACTGTCCTTCACCCTCCACCTGTCCTTCACCCTCCACTGTCCTTCACCCTCCACTGTCCTTCACCCTCCCCCTGTCTATCCATTCCACATTGTCCGCCTCATTTTTGTGCATTTTGGTCAGTAAATGCCCTCCAAGCTGGTCAGTAGGTGGGGGTGAAGGTTGTCTCGGGTTCCTGGTGTGTGAGGTTCACTTGCAGGGAACCACATGGGGCTCGCCCTCCCACATGAGTGAGCGCAGCAGGACRCACCAAGTGACCACATCCACCCAGATAACCCAGGGAGATCCCAGGAAGACGGGGTGCTGGAATGTATTGTCAGAGCCACCGTGAKCGTGTCCAGGGGAGCCTGGGAGGGTGTCCCTCTGTCAGGTGCTGCTCAGTGCCTTGGCAGAAAACCTGGAGCAGCCTCCGCTGTGCCTCTGGGCAGTGTGCTGTGGTCCTCTCTGTTGTTCTTCATTCCCACTTCCCTCCTCAGGCTGCTGTAGCACTTTTCACAGTTTTGTGCTAATTAATTCACTGGCTGTTTTCCTATCACCTTCTTGTGGTTGCCATCCACTCCTTCACACCCGTGTAAAGTCGTACCACTCACGTGAATCACCCAGAGCGCCTTGCACCCCAGGCCCACGGGCCCCTGTGCCAGTCCTGGGGACCCCGATTCCCCAGCAGTGTTGAGGCCCGCCCTGAGGGAGTGACGGCCGCCAGGCCTCCCAAGGTCCCTGATCTTCTCAGAAAATCTGGTTTCTCTTTCCTTCTCGAAGACTGTTTTCTTAGGTCCAGGGAGCTTCTGGGTGGCCTGGACTCCCCGTGGGGCCGCCCAGYCCCAGCCCTTGGGTGGAGCTTCGGGACACACTCCAGTCAGAAGGCCTAAGATACCCAGACGGGCGGCTGCCCATCTCTCAGCAGATGGCAGCTCTGTGGGGCCCTTGCTGGCCCAGGGTGGTGTGCTGGCCTGCAGGTCAGACCCCTCTCTGCCCTGGGGGAGCTGTTGGCCCAGGGCTCTTGGAGGGGAGTGTCAGCCCACCCTGGCTCCAAGTCACAGCTCTCCCAACAGCCAGAGGTCTGGACGGGCAGAGGCCCTCACCCTGTGGCCAGGAGTGCACAGTCCCTGGACAAGGACAGACAGGGGGCACCACCCAGGCCCTGCTGGGCAAGTCCAGAGGAGACTTGAGCCACCAGCGCCCGGCCCAGGGACTCTAGGGATGGTCCAAGTGGTGTCGCCGATAGCCTGTCCTCACTGCGGCCAGGCTCCTGTGGCCATGCCCACTGTCCATGGGGGGTGCTGCTCCAGGGGTCCCCTGGGCCTCCTCTCACTGCCCCAAAGATGGCTTGAAAACCCAGCTGCCCCTCTTGGAGGTGCAGCCTGTGCCCACGGCCGGCTGTCAGCGCCCTCTACTGGCCATCAGCGCCCTCTGCTCTCTGGCAGGTTCTACCTCATCAGTGGAGGCGTCCCCTTCGTCATCTGTGGGGTCACTGCTGCCACAAACATCAGGAATTATGGGACGGAAGACGAAGACACAGCCTAGTGAGTGCTGGCAGCCAGGAGAGTGGAGGGTGGGCACTTGCAGCCACTTTGCTGGCTCCCCCCAGGCAGGTGCCCACAGTGGTGTCCAGCTGTCAGTGACCGAGGTGCCTGGGTGAGGTCCCCGGAGAGGAGCTGCAAGTCCTGTCCCTGAGCCCCGAGGCCCTCAGAGCTGTGCCCACGCCCTCCTCTGGGTGTGCAGAGCCCTCTCTTCCCTGCAGACCCAGCTTCCCACGGAGTTCTTTCCTTGGCCACCAAGGCCTGGTTTCTCTAGGTAGGAAAAGTCTGGGGACAGATAACAGCTTGGCCACACCACCCATGTCACCTTCCCCAGCCTCTGACCCTGCTCCCTGTCAGCACCCACCCGAGCTTCTCCCTGGGCACAGGACATCCAGCCTGGCCAGGAAGCCCCGCTCTCAGGCCCCTTGTCCCCAAACCCCACCTGCCCCAGCTCTGCCTCTGCCACCTCCTCACCCGGAACACAGTCCCACAGTCCTGCTAGCCCCCCGTGCAGGCAGGACTACCAGTTGACCAGTCGGATCACAGCTGCCCGTCCAAACTGTCTCAGTGTCACCCAGATGGGGTGGCAGTCAGCCAGGGCCTGCCTCCCAGCACTCACGGGCCTCAGGGCCCTGCACCTTCCTTTTCTGTTTCCTTACCACAAAAGTAAAGCAGCCAGCTGAGGCCCCTGGCCCCAGGAGCTGGGGAGCCGGTGCCCGGGGCTGCGCTCACCCCTTCTCCCTGCAGCTGCTGGATGGCCTGGGAGCCTAGCCTGGGCGCATTCTACGGCCCCGCTGCCCTCATCGTCCTGGTCACCTGTGTGTACTTCCTGGGCACCTACATCCAGCTGAGACGCCACCCGGAGCGCAGGTACGAGCTCAGAGAGCGCTCGGAGGAGCAACAGCGGCTGGCGGTGCCCGAGGGGGGCCACCGCCACGGGGCGCAGCCCTGCACCACGCCCGCCTGTGACCCCCTGGCCGCCTCGCAGCTGCAGAACGAGCACTCCTTCAAGGCCCAGCTGCGGGCGGCGGCCTTCACGCTGTTCCTGTTCATGGCCACCTGGGCCTTCGGGGCGCTGGCGGTGTCTCAGGGCCACTTCCTGGACATGGTCTTCAGCTGTCTGTACGGCGCCTTCTGCGTGACCCTGGGGCTCTTCGTGCTCATCCACCACTGTGCCAAGCGGGAGGACGTGTGGCAGTGCTGGTGGTCCTGCTGCCCCTCCCGTGGGGACGGCCCCCAACAGCCCAGCACGCACCCYGCGCTCGAGGCCAATGGGGACGTGCTGGGGCACATGGCCTGCCTGCAGGACTCACCGTGCCCTGGCCAGGCCAGGGGCTTCAGCCACCCAGCACCAGGCCACTGCAAGATGACCAACCTGCAGGCCGCCCAGGGCCACGCCAGCTGCCTGTCGCCAGCCACCCCCTGCTGTGCCAAGATGCACTGTGAGCAGCTGATGGAGGACGAGGCCCACGGTCACCTGCCCGAGGGAGAGGCCTTCCTACACGAGCCCCACCTGCACAGGTGCCTCGAGGGCAGAACTAAGGCCCACTACTTCCACCCTGCCGCCTCGGCCCCACGGGAGTACGCCTACCACATCCCGTCCAGCCTGGATGGCAGCCCCCACAGCTCCCGCACAGACAGTCCCCCCAGCTCCCTCGAGGGCCCCATGGGGGTGCACACGCTGGCTTGCTGCACCCCAGGCGACCCCTTCCCCATGGTCAGCCAGCCTGAGGGCAGCGACGCCAGCTCTGCCCTCTATGGCTGCCCACCACGGCTGCCTCCAGGCCCCGCCCACTTGGAGATGCTGCGCAGGACACAGTCCCTGCCCTTCGGAAGCCCTGGCCAGAACGGGCTGCTCAAGGGTGACCTCCGAGAAGGCCTGCCGTTCGGCACTGATGGGACAGGCAACATCCGGACGGGGCCCTGGAAAAACGAAACCACAGTGTAACTGAGGTGGGAGCCCATCGGCCTCCCCAGAGCCACCATGTCCCCAGGAGCTTCAGCACTTACAGGGGCCATCTGCCATCTAACAGGGACTGGGGGTCACCAGTGACTGGGCCTTTCAGATGTGGCTCAGACGCCATCACCAAGACCCTCTTTGTGAAGACCCCAGTGAGAAGCAGCCTGGGCCGCAGCTGCACCAGCCCAGGTGGGCCTGCTGTCCACGAACCGTCACCCACTCTCCGTCTGTAGAGTCCAGTCCCCAGGGCAGCCCAGAAACAGCAAGGGGTTCTATCCCAGGAGCCGCCCAGACCCCAGGCCGAAAAAGCAGGGCAGTGACCAGGAGCCCTCAGCAGGGCCCCTGTGGACATTCCCAGGTGTTCAGTGAGGGTGTGCTGAGTTCATTCCAGGGCTGGGGCTGCTGCTTCTCCAGAGCACGCTTGTGCTGGGCACTGTCTGCAGACCCCTCTGCCATCCTTATGTCTGTCAGCCACACGTGGGGCACCCACAGGAGCCCCTGCCCACTCCCCACCTCCAAGCCAGCCCTGCCCTGGAGGTTGCCCACCCTGTAGCCCGAGAACACCTTGGGTGCTGGAAGATGAGCCCCACTCTGGAGCTGTGGGGAGGAGCAGCTGATGGCTGCGGGCCTTCACGGGTGGGTCTGGAGGCCGTACCTCTGGAGGATGCCCAGATCCTTCTCGATGGACACTCAGCTTCCTCCACCAGCCACTGTCAGGCCTGGGTTCTGCTCCAGTGTGGGCACACACTAGCAAGTTCCCTTGCACAAGGAAGAGGGGCTAACTGGGGGTGAGGTCACCAGACAAAGTTTCTTTTTCTCTTTTGCATTTCCATGAACATCTAAGGACAGACATTGATGACGAGGAGTCTGTTCTGGAAGCAAGTGGCCCATCCCTGGGCAGTGTCCTCCGGAGGCAGGAGCCCAAGGGTCCCACAGCCCTTCCACTCTTCTTCTCCCCTCCCAGTCTGTGGCACATGTGCACACACACACACACACACACACACACCAGAACATGTGCATACATGACCAAGTGCAGACACACATTCAGTGTGCACATCACACACATGCATGAGAGTGCCTGTACTGTACACAATGTGATGTGTGTGTGTGCAGGTACATGCACATGCCATGCACATGTGCACACAGAGAATTAGGTGTTTTCCAGCTGCCCCAAGCATGGGTTTTCACTGCAGCTGTGGGTGTCAGCAGCAGAATCTGCTGTCTGTGTGCTTCACCCATGTGCTCTGCTCTGCCAGCTGGGCAGGTGGCTTCAGGGGAGCAGAGCTTTCTCATGTGCATCTCAGAGGAGAGGGCATGGAGATGTGGAGTGCCTTCAAGCAGGTGCTCTGCAGCATCGTGRTGGGTAGCCATCCAGAGGCCGGCACTTGGTATCTGAGCGAGAACCTGGGACCCAACACTTGGAAACCCAAAAGAGATGCTGTGACTCCCACAGCACCTGCACCCAACATGGACTCCTCCATGCAGACAGTCAGCACCGGGCAGCGAGGGCCACCAGGCAGGGTCAGTCCTTGTCACCGTGCACCTTCCCGCCTGCTTCCATAGCGACACGTGGACCCTGACGGTCTGCACCAAAGCATACCGTCCTGAAAATACAGTGTTTGCCATTGTCTGTCCTGGGTGAGACTGGTCAATAGCCTCCTGTGTGTGTCTCGCCCCTGGTGAGGAGGGTCCAGGGGATCTGAGCCTCATTCAATATGCTCCCCTGGGCCCCTCGTGTCCTTTCTGCCCTCAATGCCCCTGGCAGAAGAGAGAGCACCTCATCATTCGACCAAAGAATTCAGCATTAAACACTAACTGTGTTGCTTTTCAATGTTGATTCAGCCTCGTGGGTCCGCGTGGGACCAGCGTGTGACACACTCCACCTGTGCGTTGTTTTCAGTGTGTAGGCTCACGTGCAGCTGCCAGGGAACAGGAGGGCCGCCCACTGCCCCTGTCTGCAGCCTCCATGTGTCTCTTCCCTCTTGTGAGTGTGTGTTTGGGTGTGTGAGGCGTGCTGTCTATGGGGGGGGGGTGTGCATGAGTGTGAGCACACGAGAGTACCCGTTTGGGAGCTGACCCTCGTGTGCATGTGTGTGTGCATGTGTGCACATAGGCACACGGATACCTTCAGAGACAGAGCACTGGGCGCCCTCTCTACCCTGGTGTGTACCCCACCACACAGAGATATCCATCTAAAGGGGCAGAGTAGAGAGCCCTGCACCAGGACCCTGGGGCTCTGCCGCTCCCTGAAGCAAGGCGCCAGTCCAGCCTGGGACGCCAGAGCTGGTTAGTGCGAACAAGAGCCCCCTGGGCCCCGGCCCCCCCAGGAAGTCTTATGAGGGTCCTACAAGTGGGTTGGCCAGGGAAGAACTGTGGGGCCGATCCCACCTGCAGAGGCAAGACTCTGAGACTCTCTGAGTGGCAGGAGCCCAAGGAGCCCTTTGAAGACTTGGGGTTGATGCTAATGAGGTGATGTAGGGCCCCCAGGGAACCTCAGGATAGGGCCTGTCACCAGAGAGAACAGAGATGGGGTTGGAACCCTGTGGGAGGAGTTGGTGACCCCGTGGTGGAAACTCGTGCAGGACTCGGGAGCCCCTGATGTGATCCTCGGCCCTGTGCAGAAGAGAGCACCTCACCTCATTGGCTGTTCAGCCRTAGCTTCCACAATATCCTTTAGAATAAACCTATAAACCAATCAGGGTCTCCCTTACCCAGGCCTCTGTGAAATACAGTCCTTGCAGACTTCACCTGGCTCAGATGAGTGGTGCTGGAGTCCATGTGTCCTCGTGGAAGAGGGGAGTTTGGTCACAGACACACATGGGCACGGGGGAGACGCCACGTGAGGGCAGAGCAGGGACTCCAGTGTCATGCCGCAGCCAAGGAACGCTGGGGGCTGTGGCCGCCAGCAGGAGCCTGGGAGAGGCCCACCTGTGGCCTGGCCAACACCTGGATGAAGCCCTTCACACAGCAGCCTGGGGACATGAACGCAGACACCCCTCTGCAGGCCAGGCCCTACCATGAGCCTCCCACCGCTGCTCAGCGACAGTCCACTGCCTCCCCGGGCCTCTTGGCTCTCTGCTTCAGGGCCTTTGTCCTGGCTGTCCCTCTGCCAGGAGTGCTCCTCCCCAACTCTGCATGGTTCTGTCCCTCCCTGCTTCTAGAAACAGGCCAGATGGACCTCCCATGCACCTGACCGCAGCATCCCTACTCTCTAAAGTGCTTTTTCCCTTCAAGACACCTGTCAAGTCCTGATACAAGGAGCTGTTTAGGGACTCCTCCGCCGAGGGCTGGGCTCCAGGCCCACAGGCCAGGTCTGGACACGCACCATGACTGCCCAGTCCGCAGAGGGACAGTGGGGGAGGGACAGTGAAGGAGTCTGCTGGGTGTGGCCACACTGGGAAGGAACGAGGACTGGTGTCCTAAGCCTTCCTGGGGACACAGACAAGGCTCCAGCACTGTAGGGGGAAGAACCAGGGAGGGGCCGGAAGTGTGCGTGGTCACGAGTCCTGGTTAAATGAGGTCCGCTGACTGCTAGTGATGGTCCTGATGGCACCCGGAGGTCATGGTTGTTTGAGGGGCAACTGTGGCTTCTGTCACAAGATGATCCACGCACAGAACTTGCTGCTCCAGAAACTGGAGATCAGCTGGGGAGGAGAAATGGCTCAGAGAGAGCGAGAGCAAGGGGGAGAGGGGAAGAAAGAGAGAGAGAGAGAGAGAGAGAGAGAGAGAGAGAGAGAGAGAGATGGAGAGGGG